TGGCGCCTAACATTTCACTTCCTAGGCAAGCCAACGTTAGAATAATATTAACCAATTTTTAAAAAACATTTAAATTATTAATAATCAAAGAAACAAATGTGAAAGCAAAGTTTGAAATATAGTGAAATAACCCATAAAAATAACGGTGTCTAAATACCATCTAAGAATTGGTGTCACAAGTGCACCAGCTTCTAGAATAATTACAAAAAAAGGTTTGAATAAAATAAAGCAGTCTGGAAATAAACACACAGGTAAAGTAAAATAGACGGGGACTTCAAAACTGCGGACGCCATGCAGTTATACCTCAAGTCTCCTCTGGTAGCTGAAATCCGAGCAAGTCTATGATATGCCGCTAGGACCAACTCCAAAATCTGCACAAGAAGTGCAGAGTGTAATATCAGTATAACCGACCACATGTACTGGTAAGTGCTGAGCCTAACCTCGACGAAGTAGTGACGAGACTAAGGCGGGTCACTTACATTACCTGTACGCAATATTAGAAACAACAACAATAATAGAAATAAATCAGGTAACTCATTTATAATGATTGAAGCCAACTCAGCAGTTATAACCAATTATTATTTCCATCAATTCTGTTGCAGCGTGCAACCCGCTCTCACAATATATTCACATTCAATTCTGTTACAGGGTGCAACCCGCTCTCACAATATATTCACATTCGGTTCTATTGCGGCGTGCAACCCACTCCTCTAATATATTCATTTTAATCAAGTCTGTTGCGGCGTGCAACCCGATCCTCCAATATGGACTTTTAATAAGTCTGTTGCGGCGTACAACCGGATCTTTCAATATGGACTTTTTAATAAGTCTGTTGCGGCGTGCAACCCGATCCTCCAATATATTCATTTCAATCAATTCTGTTGCGGCGTGTAACCCGCTCCTCCAGTATATTCATTTACCAATTCTTATAGAAGAAATTTTCCAAATAAATGCAACAATTAATATGAAATTATAAGACAACAAGCATACAATAATTATGATTTAATAATGAAACAGACAATGTCAAATAACAAATTATTATAGAAATCAGGGCGAAAATAGGCAGTTTAATATTTAATATGCTAAATGTCAAATAACAATTAAGACACATAATTCAAGTAGCATGTAACAATTAAATGCAGAAATTCAAGAATTTATATTTGGCAAAAAATAGGAGAAACAATTATTATAATAATTAATTCATGATTTAAAATAGTTTATGATTCTTTTCAAGTAATTATGAAAATAATTAATTTGACGACGTATAGACACTCGTCACCTCGCCTATACGTCATTCACATACATTTCACATAATAAATAATTTAAGGGTTCTATTCCCTCAAGTTAAGGTTAACCACGACACCTACCTCGCTTTGCAAATTCCAATCAATTACACAATCACAACTTTTCCTTTTAAATTTGTCTCCGAAAGCTTCAAATCTATTCACAAACAATTCAATATACTCAATACGAATCATAGGAATTAATTCCATATGAATTTATTAATTTTTCGGATAAAATCTGAAATTCATTAAAATATTCAGCAGTGGGACCCACGTCTCAAATCTCAGCAAACTTATTAAATCCGAACACCCATTCTGAGACGAGTCCAACCATACAACAATTATCCAATTCCGATGTCAAATGGATCTTCAAATCTTAAATTTTCGTTTTTGGAAGATTTTATAAAAATATGATTTTTCTTTCATAAATTCACGGATTCATGATATAAATGAGTATGAAATCATGAAATATAATCAATATAGGATAAGGAATACTTACCCCAATATTTTCCCATGAAAATCGCCCAAAAATCGCCTTACCCGAGCTCAAAAATGGAAAAGAGTTGAAAATGGGTCGAAACCCCATTTTCAGAACTTAAGTTCTGTTTCTGGGATTTTTACCCTTCGCGAATGCGGTCAGTGCCTCGCGTTCGCGAAGCACCAATTTGTGTTGTCCAATTTTACTCTTCGCGAATGTGATGCTTGCCTGGCTTGGCCTTCGCGAACGCGAGATGCCCTTCGCGAACACGAAGGCTAATTTTTCCTGGCCAACCTCTTTCCCTTCGCGAACGCGAGGCTTCGATCGCGAACGCGAAGCTTTGAACCTCAAGCCTTCGCAAACACGGTTACTATGTTGCGCACGCGAAGCAAAAATTATGCCAGCCCTAATTTGCTCTTCGCGAATGCGAAGAAGAATACACGAGAAGCCTGAAGTCTGCAGAAAACCAGATTTCCTAAGTCCGAAATCGTCTCGTAGCCCATTCGAAACTCACCCGAGCCCTCGGGGCTCCAAACCAAACTTGCACATAAGTCCTAAAACATCATACGAACTTGCTCGCGTGATCAAATCGCCAAACTAACACCTAGAACTACGAATCGGACACCAAATCAAAGAAAATTTTCAAGAAAACTTTAAAACCTTTATTTTTACAACCGGACGTCCGAATCACGTCAAATCAACTTCGATTCTCATCAAATTCGGCAGACAAGTCATAAATATTATAGTGGACCTACCCCAGGCTCCGGAACCAAAATATAGACCCGAGGTCAATAAATCCAACATCAGTAATTTCTTAAAAATCATTAAGCTTTCAAGCTTTTAATTTTTCATCAAAATTTCATATCTCGAGCTAGGGACCTCGGAATTCGATTCCGGGCATATGCCCAGATCCCAAATCACGATACGGACATACCGAAATTGTCAAAACACTTATCTGGGTCCGTTTGCTCAAAATATTGACCAAAGTCAATTTAATTGAGTTTTAAAGCTCTATTTCACATTTTAATCCATTTTTTACATGAAAACTTTCGAAAAATTGTACGGACTACGCACGCAAGTCGAGGAATGATAAATGGTGCTTTTCGAGGTCTTAGAACACAGAATTACTTATTAAATTTAAAGATGATATTTTGGGTCATCACAGATTTATTCCGAGATTGAAAAAGAGCAATATACTTTATACTTCTTGGAGAAAAGAAATATTAAACAAACATCTTATATTAAATAGATGCGCATAAATTGTCACGACCCAATTTCACCTATAGGTCGTGATAGCGCCCCACACTATAGCTAGGTAAGCCAATTAGTAATTTAAACCCATATTAAATTCTTTTAAAATTAACCGAATAATTAAACTCTTCTTAATTGCAGGAATTTAGTAAATTAAAACAACCAAGAACAAAATTTAAATCCAAATATTCTACCAGTGTGTGTGCCAAGACCTGGTGTCACAAGTGTATGAGCATCTAGTAGATTATACAAACTCCAAATATTGTCTGAAATAAAATAGACAGAATACAAATACAAGAAGAGACACTGATAGCTGCAGAACGGCTCAGAAAGGCAGTTCACCACTATGCCTCTGGATAACGTGGGTGTGCGATGATAGATCCTCCACTAGGGCCTGTCTCAGATCCTGCACAAAAAGTACAGCAAGTGTAGCATGAGTACGTAAACAACATGTACCCAGTAAGTATCAAGCCTAATCTCGAAGAGGTAGAGACGAGATGACCGACTTTGACACTCACTATGGGTCAATAATAATAATTGAAATAAAACTAGAATATCTAGATCAACATGATTCACAGAGTTAACAATAATTTATTTAACCAGCAGAAATAATTAAATTCCTTCAAATGCAACAATTTTCAAACTATTAATTAAATTCACAAACTGCAATTGAAATGCCAAGGTATCGTATAATTATCATTATTAGGCACGATTTCTGCCGAGGTCGTACGGCCCGATCCAGCCGAGGGATGTGTGACACGATCCATAGATGCATCTATCCTACCGAGGCATTTGGCCCGCTCCACAAGAAAGGAGGGCATTTTTTTATGTACCTCCGGAAGGAGAGTATATTTATTATAAGATCAATTCGAGAGGATGAACAATTTCTTTAACAATTAATTAATTTAAACAAAAAATTAAGCATATGAGATTTTTACCTTTTAATAATTTCTCTAACAATTCACAATATATACCAAATAATTTAATTAAATAACAGATATAATTTACACAAGTAATTCATGCTTTGATTCCTAAACTACCCGGACTTTAGCATTAATAGTTGCTACGCACAGACTCTCGTTACCTCGTGCGTACGCAGCCCCCACAATTAGTAATAATTATTAATTTAATTACCTATGGGGTAATTTTCCCCTCACAAGATTAGACAAGAGACTTACCTTGTCTCAAAGTCTACTTTCCAATTACCACGTCGCGTTAAATTCTCAATTTGATGCCGAAAAATCTGAAACTATTAAAATGTTATACAAAATAATTAATATATGTTCAATAATTCGAATTTAGGCTATTAAATTAATTACCCAACCCAAAATGGTAAAATTTTTAAAATTCACCCCAGGCCCACGTACTCGGATTCCCAAAATTCTAGGATGAAAACGTTACCCATAATCTCAAGAACTCAAATATATAATTTCTATCCAATTCCATAAATATTTTCGTGGTTAAAATCTTATTTTTATAAAAATCTAGGTTTTTCATCTAAACCTTTGATTTCTAAGATTTACTAGTTATAATCTATCCATAATCTATGTATTTAACTAAAAATGTGTAGAATTAACTTACCTTCAAGTTGCTAGTTGAACTCCCCTCTCAAAAAGCTCCAAAATCGCCCAACAATGGAAGAAATGGGGTTAAAAATGGTGAAACCCGTTTTTTAGACATTCTGCCCGGTACAGTGGACCCCTTCTTCGCGAACGCGGTCAAGGCTTCGCGTTCGCGAAGGCCATTTTCCTCATCCTCAAAATTACCCTTCGCGAACGTGATGGCCTACGCTGACTGAGTATCGCGAACGCGAAGAGCAAAGTTCACTGGCCCTCCCTGACCCCATTTCCCTTACGCGAACGCGAGTGAGATTTGCGAACGCGAAGGCTTAGGCTCTCATGGCTCCGCGAACACGTGAGCCTGTCCGCGAACGCGAAGGGCAAATTGCCCACTGCCCCACATCCTTCTTCGTGAATGCGATTTCCCTCTCGCGAACACGAAGATGGAAACCAGAACTCGAAAATCTAGTTTCTCAGATTTAGCTCTGGGCGGTCCGAAACACACCTGAGCCCCTCGGGACCCTGTCCAAAGGCACCAACAAGTCTGTAAACATATTACAGACTTGCTCGAACTCTCAAAACACAAAATTCAACAACAAATCCAAGAATCACACCCCAAAACCAAATTGGATCAAACTTTGAACTTCAAGTTTCTAACTTCCTCCGAACGCGCCGAATCATATTTATACTACTCGGAATGACACCAAATTTTGCGTGCAAGTCTTAAATAATATAACGGATTCGGAACTAGATTCCGACCCCGATATCAAAAAGTCAACTCCCCGGTCAAACTTTCAAACTTAAATTCTTGTTTTAGCCATTTCAAGCCTAATTTAACTACAGACTTCCAAATAAAATTCTGAATAGGCTCCTAAGTCCAAAATCACCATACGTAGCTATTGGAACCGTCAAATTCCGATTCCGGCGATGTTTTCTCAAAATATTGACCGAAGTCAAACTTAACATTCTAAGGCCAACTTAAGGAACCAAGTGTTCCTATTTCAACCCGAACTACCATCCCGGCAAGTCATAAATTAATAAAAGCACATACATGAAGTTTTATTTAGGGGAACGGAGTTCTAAAGTTAAAATGACCGGTTGGGTCATTACATAAATAATCTTTTCAATTAGGAACTCAAAACAAACATTTATTGAATTTAATTTTTGATATATATTTAAAGAAAATAAAATATGAGTTATCTCCAAAAGAATTGTATTTGGGCAACTAAAACTGCCATAAAGCTAAGGGGAATGTGGCAAAGAGAGTTTGCTTTTGAAAGGACAAAATATTTTTGTAGCGCCCCGAGTCGCCACTAAAAGCCTTACTGTCGCCCCAAAAAGTTGGCCCGACTTGTCGCGCCTTTTAGCGGCGACCTACTATGCCGATTTTAAGTAGCATGGTTAAAGCTATTACTGGCGACTTTGTTCGTCACAAAAACATTTTATAATTTCATTGATTCCGCCTACTTAAAATTGAAATTAAGATACATAAAATTGAAACAAGAAAACAGAGAGAGTAATTAAAATACCTGACTTATAATAATCACAATAAATGAAATTACTTTATATATGCATTCATCTTGTCATTGACTCCGCCTACGTACCAAACTTTACATATTAAACCAAATACTATAAAAAAAAATGAAATCATAGGCGGATCCAGGATTCGAAGGTTGCGAGTGCCACCATATTATGCATACAGTATACATGTCAGTAGCTACAAAGACAGATTAGGAATAATGGGTCGATTCGGTTAGTTTTTGGTTAATTTGAATAGGTCTTTCATTCACAAAGCAAATAAATTCGATTTTAGTTCAAATTTTTAACGCTTAATTTAAACATATTCTAAATAAAAATATAAAAAAAAAACATTTCATGAAAAAGAGCCTCCAATATAAATATTTGCTTAAAGGGTACCTTAACTACACTATGTTTGACTAGATTAATTTACTTGTATTGTTCTTTGTTTATTTTTCCATTTTAATTGTTGAGTTATATGACAATTATTTTCAAAGAAAAACCTTCAACATTCAACCTATGATATTCAACTCAAAACGACTATCAATCAATCCATTTAATTTTTTTTTAAAACCCAATAGAAGATAATGCTCAAATTATATTCTAATATATAAATTAATTTTGTTTCATTAAAAATAAAGAAATTATATTCTAATTAAAATCAATTAAAATTACTATAGAAAATAATTGTTTATAAAGTAAGGTATAATGATAGAAACAAAATGAGGACTGAAAGTTAAAAAAATAAAGAAGAGAGACTTAACAAGTAATAAAAGGAGGAAAATAACCGAAAAAGAAGGAAAAGATATGCGGCCCTAGGGTTCAACTAAAAATCAAAGGAGCTGCTCCAATAGGGAATTGAACTTGCATTCTTAAGGCCAATAAAAGCCTTCAAAGGAAGGCTAAACCAATGACACCCACTTTCACTTTGTGACTTTTGGGTGCCATTCTATCCATTTATACGTTTTTTCACAGAGATATTATGTACATGGTAGAAATTTTAGCGAAGCGAGCGGGTATCGTGGTACCCCTAACTTGCAACGTAGATCCGTCCCTGACTAGAACCCCTACTTCATATATTTTGAGGCTAAATGTGATCCATAATTTAAAGTTTACGGGTTCCTATAAAGACCTACGGTATAATTAAACAAGGACCAGCAGGTTCAATTCCATACTGTTGGCCATGAGCATTCTTATAATATGCTGTAACCAGAGGCGGCTCGACATAATATGGGGTCTAAGGTGAAAATAAAAAGTTGGCTTTAAATTTTTTTAATACTTTTTACTCTTATAAAACTGATTATAACTTCTTTAGATTTCGATAAAACTATTATAAAGGGTAAGTTCCAATTCTAATATACAGCTAACATCAGCAACTCCTAAAGGGTAATGCTCAACATATACCGGAACTTATATTAGAATTGGTAATGGTCACATTGAGAAGATTGAATATGAATGCCATCGGTATTTGGAGAATATCCTGGAGACTGAATAAATACATGATCGACCTTGAAATCATTGCAACCCCTAACAAGTATATGAGTTTGTGAACTATTGACAAAGTTGATGTTGCTTATGGAACTTTTATTGCATGAAATTAACTTCATGGCCTGTGGAATATAATTTACATATTAGTGAAATTAATCAATTCTCTTAGGGGTCGTTTGGTTGGGATCGGAAACAAGTTATCTCAGGAGTAATTATTTCGGGATTAATTATCTGGGACTGTTATCCCACCCTCTCATAGGGATAAAAATAACACTACAATCTCGGGATAACTAATTCTAGGATTAGTTATATTGCGATTTTATCCAACCAAACGTGGGATAAACTCGTATCAAATTAATTCCGGAATTAATTATCCATTATCCCTCGTACCAAACGAGCCTTTAGAGTTAATTAAGAATTTAAAATTAGAGGGTGTCAAGAGAAAACTTACAGTAGGAGCTAATTTTGTGCATCCTTGCTGAAAAACAAAAGGAGTGTAAAATTGTGAATACATAACTAATAACATTAGTCATGAGGGAAGATTAGTATTATGTCTTACTTGAATTAATTTCCGTACATATATACTTTTGATTTTCTAAACACGACAAATTATTTGAAATATAATTTACTTTTCACTCCATATACTAGGTGAGTTTGGTGCAACAAGTGTCCCTGATATCTATATATACGAGGAGTAATAGGAATTAAGAAAATATTAATGACTTAATACTACTCCATTCGTTTCACTTTATATGACATAATTCGAAATGTGAGAGTTAAATAGACTAATTTTCAGTATGAATTCGAGCATAAAGTTTTAAAGTTTTTCTTTTAAATAAAATTTACATATTTAGAAATTATATAAAAAATATAATAAGACACAATAGTTAGTAATTCAATATATTTAAAAAGCATTTAAGAAAAATGACGTTGTCAAGGGGGTAGCTACCGAATATAACCCTTCTACAAAATGACGGTTGTAACCTGCCAATCCCAGAAAGTTGTGAATCTCTGTGGGGGTCGTCGGCTTATGCCAACTCTTAACTGCTTCTATTTTCTGCGGGTCTACTCTAATGTCTTCACTCGAGAACACCTACCCCAAGAATATAACAGTATCGAGCCAAAATTCACATTTGGAGAATTTGGCATAAAGTTGGCCCTCCTTAAGTATTTGAGGAACTGTTCTCAAATGATTCTCATGCTCTTTCTGGCTATGGGAATATACCAGTATATCATCGATAAATAGTATGACAAAGGTATGTAAGAAAGGCATGAAGACTCTGTTCATTAAGTCCATAAAAGCTGCTGGTGCATTGGTCAACCTAAAGGATATCAATAAAAATTCATAGTGACCATACCGAGTCGTCAAAGCTATTTTCGGGATGTCTGCTTCTATGATATTTAACTGATGGTATCCCGATCTTAGGTCTATATTTTGAGAAATACCTAGCACCCTGTAACTGATCAAATAGGTCATTTATCCTGGGTAGTGGATATTCTTAATCTTGCCACTGAGGACACCCTCCTTGAGCTTAAGCAAGCTAGCGTCATTGAATTGTTTGACTTTAACTTCTCAACTAAAGTAGACTTAGCACCCATACTTGCTATCAACCTTCCATCATACTTCTCATTGAGACGAACCTCGTGGCTAGCTATTTAATGGGCTTCCTTAACTATTGGATGTTCGACCATAGGCAACCCGGTCAAACTCCCCATGGATCTTCTACTCAGAGCATCAACAACCATATTCGCTTTGCCAGGATGGTAAAAGATATTACAATAATAATCTTTAAGCAACTCCAACCACCTGCGTTGTCTCAGATTCAACTCTTCATGCTTGAATATATACTGCAAACTTTTGTGATCTATATAAATGTCACATTGCTCTCCATAAAGGTAGTGACGCCATTTGTTTAGAGCAAAAATAACGGTTGCTAGCTCTAGATTCTGGGTAGTATAATTTCTCTCATGATTCTTTAATTTCCTAGAATCATAAGCAATTACCTTGTCATTCTGCATAAGAACACATCCTAACCCTACTCTAGAAATATCACAATAGATCACCAATTTACCTATAGGGGAGTCAGGATTGGATTTGTAGTCAACCTGTTCTTGAGTTCTTGAAAACTTTTGTCACAAGCTTCAGACCATTGAAACTTCACATTTTTCTGAGTTAACGTTGTCAAGGGGGTAGCTACCGAATAGAACCCTTCTACAAAATGACGGTAGTAACCTGCCAATCCCAGAAAGTTGTGAATCTCTGTGGGAGTCGTCGACCTATGCCAACTCTTAACTGCTTCTATTTTCTGCGGGTTTACTCTAATGCCTTCTCTCGAGACCACGTGCCCCAAGAATATAACTGTATCGAGCCAAAATTTATATTTGGAGAATTACGCATAAAGCTGGCGCTCCTTAAGTATTTGAAGAATTGTTCTCAAATGATTCTCATGCTCTGTCCGGCTATGTGAATATACCAGTATATCATCGATAAAATACTATGACAAAGGTATCTAATAAAGTCTTAAAGACTCTGTTCATTAAGTCCATAAAAGCCGCTGGTGCATTGGTCAACCCATAGGACACTTCAAAAATATCATAATGACCATACCAAGTCTTGAAAGCTATTTTCGGGATGTCTGCTTCTATGATATAACTGATGTTTTCCCGATCTTAGGTCAATTTTTGAAAAATACCTAGCACCCTGTAACTGATCAAATAGGTCATCTATCGTGGGTATTGGATATTTATTTTTGATAGTAACGTTATTCAGCTAGTGGTAATCTATGCACATCCGTAGGGAATTATCCTTTTTATTCACGAACAACACTGGAGCACCCCAGTGGGAAACACTAGGTTGAATAATACCTTTATATAAAAGGTCATATAATTGCTTCTTGAGTTCATTTTGCTCAGCTGGAACCATTTTGTAAGGAGGAATCAAGATTGGCTGAGTTCCTGATAATATGCCTATGCCAAACTCAATCTCCCTATCTGGTGGTATCCCTAGGAGATCATCTGCAAACACTTCTGGAAACTCTTTCACAATATGTATTGATTCAAGCATTGGGGAGTCGGCCTTCATATCCCGCACATGTGCTAGATACGCCAAACACCCATTATTCACTAGCTCTCTAGCCTTAAGGTAAGAAATAAACTTACCCACAGGCGTACCCACTTCACCTCTAATTATAACTGGATTTTCCCCAATAAATGAGAATTTAACGGTCTTCGCGTGGCAATTAACTATAGCATGACAAGAAGATAACCAGTCCATGCCAGCTATGATGTCAAAGTCAACAATATCTAACAAGTTCAAATTGNCTATGATGTCAAAGTCAACCATATCTAACAAGTTCAAATCAGCTAATGTTTCTCGGCCCTGAACGATGATGATGCAATTTCTAAATATATACTCAACTTTAACATATTCTCCTATAGGTGTGGAAACCTTAAACGGGACCCCTAATGGTTCTGGTGCTTTTCCAATCTCGACACAAAAATAAGGAGACAGATAAGAGAAAGTTGAACCAGGATCAACTAATACATAAGCAAGCGACCACAAACTGAGATAATACATGTAATAACTTTGTTAGACGCCTCCGCATTCTGCCTGTCTGGAACTGCATAGAATCTGGCTGGTCTGCCTCTTCCCTGAGCTCCACCTCTATTGGCACCACGCCTAGTCTGAGCATTAGGTGCCCGAACTGGAGGAGCTTCTACTAATAAATTACCTGTGGATGCTGCCTGAGTTGCTGAAGCCTTCCCTGGAGCATGCCTGAGTCGTGGACAATCTTTCATAAGGTGACCTAGGTCATAGCAGTGATAACATCCTCTCTAACCCAAAAGGCATTGCCCAAGATATTTTTTATTGCACGTGGAACAAATAGGATCGGAGAACCGAGTCTGACTTTGATTTATTGAACTGTTCCCCAAATAAGCCTCACCTTTACTCTGCTGGCTTTGTCTGAATGGAGCTGGATAAGGAGACGAGTGAACTACTGACCGACTCTAAACTGAATGATTCGTGTTCTTTCCCCCAACTAAAAGTCCACTATAACTACCTGTGGTTCTAGCCTTCTTGCCATTTTCTCTAGCTTCCCTAGCAATTTTATCAAAAGCCTCCTTACGCGTAGCGATATTGACAACCTGAAGATAAGTCTTGTCATCCTGATGTGAAGTCATATCTTTTGCCATATATGGATTCAAGCCTTCAATGAACCTTCTCACTTTTTCTCTCTCTGTCGGTCTCAAATTAGGTGCATACTCTGCTAAATTTGTAAATTCCATCTCATATTCGGTCACTGACATGATACCCTATTTAAGATGTTTGAACTGACGTCAGAGTTCATCCATCCGACTGCTAGGCAAAAACTTGGCCTAAAAGCTTCTTTGAACTGTGGCCAAGTAAGTGGCGGTAATGTAGAATCTTTGGCCTTCTTGTAACCTCTCCACCATTGCCCTGCTGCACCCTTCAATCGAAACCCAATTAATTTTGTGGCTTGTATTTCGAGGCCAGTTAAAGAAATAAACAATTCCTTTATCTTTTCCAAAAATAACATTGACTCATTCGGCTTGTCTGTACCAGTATAAATAAGAGGTTTTAATCTCAGAAAGGCATGTGGATCAATTTTTCCTGTTAGTAACTGTACTGGCTGGGCAATATTTGTAAGGACAACTGGTGGTGGTACCCCGGGTGGGGCCTGAAAATCATCTTCTATTTCCTTTTCATATGAATCATGAGGAACTTGATGAAGAGCATGAACAAGTGCATGACCACCAGCCGGAGGGGCTAGGGATTCTACAAAATCCAAAATTCTATTAATTCGATCATCCTGATGTTGTGGTTGATTCTCCCTGAGTAGGCTAGGAGGGGGTGTGACTTCCACCTGATCGTTATCAACCTACTGAGGTAGAGCATGTGCCTGTCCAACGGCCCTACCACTAGCCGGATTACCTCTGGCATTTTCACCTCTACCCCTAGCATTCTGACCTCGACCTCGAAATAGGGTCTGTACTATGGCAGGATACTATTCTACCACTAATCTATTGGTATATTTTGGTTTATGACTTTCTTTTAATTTATTTGTACTCTTTAATTACATTTTCGCGCGAAAATAACTGACCGATTTCGGTCGGTTTTATTAAAAATATAAAATTACCGACCGATTTAAGGTTTAGGGTTTAGGGTCGGTTTTTAAAAATGACTGACTGAAATAACTGACCGATTTCGGTCGGTTTTTTGAATATAAATTTTAATTTATTTTATATGAAAAATTGACCTATTTCGGTCGGTTTCTTAAAAAATAAATTTCGCGGGATGCTAAAATAGTTTTTCGCATTTTTGCGTCGGTTTCGTAAAAGGAAATTAAAAAATAAACTATTTAAAAAAACCGACCAACTTCGGTCGGTTTTTCGGTCGGTTGGCCGCGGTCGGTTTTGGACGAATTTCTAGTAGTGTTATATATAGAAAATTTAAATAAGCTGATTGATTTTCTTATTCCAAACACAAAAAGCAACTTAATTGGTCAATATATATATA